TCTAACTTGGAAGTTCGATGCGAGTTCGAGTTTACAATACTGTTGGCAAATTGATCCTAATGTTTTGCCCTTGTTTCTGCTATTTTTGTTTTAAATATATTTACTACAATGCAAATAATATATATTTAATTTAAAAATATGTCACATAAGATGTTTTCTTAGTTTTATTTTAACATTCCATTTGTGTGGCGTTCGGATCAAGTATTGACGGATAAAGATAAAAACAAACAAGACTTCTGATTATAAATCATATGCTAAAGAAGAAATATTATTTAAATAATTAAAGTATTTGACAATAAGTAAACGTTTTTCCCATAACGGTATAGATTTTCGTCTACGTTCTGTGGAATGATGGTTGGTTGTAACTTTATGAATTTCTTCAGTTTTTGTCAAGAAAATGAAGGCTTTTTTCCGTCCTTTCAAAAGAATAAGTAAAAAAGTAAAACACTCTCACTCCTCTCTCTCTCTCACACTCTCTCTCCCTCCTCTCTCTCTCTCTCTCTCTCTATCACTCTCTCTCTCTTTCTCCTCTCTCTCTCCTCTCTCTCTCTCTCTTTATCTAGGTCCCTCCCAATTATGCCATTATTCGTCACGTTCTAATTCTATCTCCTCCTCAATCACTTTTTCCAATATTTTCCGTTCTCTTTTTTATACACTCTCTCTCTCTCTCTCTCTCTCTCTCTCTCTCTCTCTCTCTCTCTATCGGTCCCTCTTAATTATGAATTATGTCATTATTTGTCCTTTTTTCTTTTTTTTCTTACCTCACTACCGGGCACTATTCTCTCTTTCTCTCTCTTTCCATTTTCTTCATTTTTTCTTCTTATTTGAACACTTTATCATATTTGCTCACTTTTGTGCTTTTATATCTCTATCAAGTTCTAATTTTTAATTTTTCTATCTCCTCCTCAATCACGTTTTCCAATATTTTCCGTTCTCTTTTTTATGTACTCTCTCTCTCTATCTTTCTCTCTCTCTCTCTCTCTCTCTCTCTCTCTCTCTCTCTCTCTCTTTCTCTATCGGACCATCCTAATTATGTCATTATTCGTCTTTTTTTCTTTTTGTTCATTCCCTCAATATAGGACATCCATATTCTCTCTCTCTCACTCTCTCTTTCTCTCTCTGTCCAGGTCCCTTCCAATTATATATATATACCTTATATATATATATATATATATATCTGTCTAGTTCTCTCCCAATTATACCATTATTCGTCCTTTTCTCTTTCTTTTTCATTACCCTATTATAGAGCATTCATATTTTCCATTTTCTCTCTCTTTCTCTTTCTCTTTCTCTCTCTTCGAATTATCTCCATTTTTCCATCTTGCACACACTTGCCCACTTTTGTGCTTTTACATCTTTGTATCACGTTCTAATTTTTAATTTTTCTATCTCCTCATCAAACACATTTTCCAATATTTTCCGTTCTCTCTTTTTTTATATACCTCCCCCCTCTCTCTCGCTCTCTCGATTACTCCAAATTATGCCATTACCTCGTCTCAAAATATTCCTCGGAAAAATTTGGGATAAGCCCCTCCATTTACTCTTATAAATTACATTCACATTATTCCAGTGTACTCCATACATATCACATACCTAAAGGTACAAAGATCCTTGTATTGTATATTGATATACAATTCAAAATACTTAAGACCCTCGGATATCGTTAAGCAATCTCTGCCATGTGCTGTGCCACGAGAACCTTTTAATGAAAGAAAGAGAATGTAGTTTATCTATTTTATTATTCGAACCTACAACAATTAAACCTTAAAATTGAACACATATTAAGATTAGTGACGAGAAGTGACAAATTTATTTACACTCTATTTCTTCTTCATTTTCTTTTCCCCTCACTTTTTATGCATCACTATTAAAAGTGGCTTCATTTGAAATTAAAATGTTTCTAAAGAAACCCCCATTTCACATTTATGACTTGAGACCCCATCTGCAAAACTGTAGAAGACAATCGCTTCGAGAGAGTTTTGACCCTAGGCGTCCTGGATATGTGTCGAATGATAACAGAAGTTTATTGCTCACTTCATATCACATTCCTTCCACCAAGCTAAAATGTCTTGTAGCGAGGATGGCGGTTTCTACATGTGCTGCGTTCCCCATATGATCTTTCCGCTCCAGCAATTAATACATCACCTATTTCATTAGCTGACTAGTAGAACCATAGCAATAAAACTCTTTTGGCTACCTCCGTCCGTAGTAATCGAGAAGGACATATAATTAAAATAATTTTTTAGTAACAACCTATTGAAGATAAATAAATATAACAATATCATCAAATTATGATATAATTTTTTATGAGTAATAAAAGAATATCAGCAAATTTATTGCCAAACCCACTCGGAATTATAATACAAGAACAATATACGTCATACAGAAATAAGTATGCAAGAAGCTTTTCTAGTCAAAAAGTTAAATGAAACAGGGAAAGATAGGAAATCGCCCAAAACTATTTTCTACCAGTCAATCTAGTTTATTACTACCTGTCCTTCAGCGTTATTAATCATTAACTTTGTTTACTTGTTGTTTTTTTATTTCTTTTTATATAAACAATTAATATATTAGCTATTGATTTAGCTCGCAAGTCTGCTTTAACGGCGCGCAAGCCAAACACTTCTGCAAGACTGACAGGTCGTGCGGGTTTAGTATATATGGTCTCTATTAAGGCGCTCTAATCTTAAATATATTATTTGGAGATCGTGACATGCCGTCTAGTGTGACGTAGGTTTTAGAAAAGCATTTTCTTTATCGTGCCAACGTTTCGATCTTTATTGAGATCATCTTCAGGGCCTGGGATTTATAACATTGTGTAAATTTTAAAAATATATGTAGGAAGTGAATAAAGATGAATTTATACATTGCTAGAAATTTTAGATTCAATCAAAATATTTGTACTCACTCATCTACACAGAAAATCAAAAACTTTGAGCGAGTACAAATACTTTGATTGAATGTAAAAATTGATTGTATAAATTCATTTTTTCCACATCCTACATATATTTGCAAAATTTAAACAATGTTTGTAAATCCCAGGGCCTGAAGATGATCTCAATAAAGATCGAAATGTTGGCACGATAAAGAAAATGTTATTATAAAACCTAAGTCACACCAGACCGCATCTCACATCTCCAAATCATCATAAACAATTAAGATAATAGCTATTGATTTAGCTTGCAAATCTGCTCTAACGGCGCGCAAGCCTAACACTTCTGCAAGACTGACAGGTCGTGCGGGTTTAATATACAGAGTGTCCTATTAAGGCGCTCCAATCTTAAATATTTTATTACTCAAGAGAAACATCTGAAGCAAACGAATTTTCTTTTTACGATCCAGTGTTTTGGCTTTCTTACATGATTGGGCGTAATGTTGTTAACATGCTTTAAACATTAAAAAATTGAGTTATGAATTTTTTGAAAAGGTATTTCATTGATTAGATGTAACCACTAAGATAACACCCCGTCCATTATGTCACATAAGACGTTTTCTTCTCTTTAATTTAACATTCCATTTGTGGCGTTCGGATCAAATATTTACGGATAAAGATAGGAACAAACAAGTCTTCTAATTATAAATTATTTGTTAAAGAAGATATATTGTTTAAATAATTAAAGTATTTGTTAATATGTAAACGTTTGTCTCATAAGGGTACAGATTTTGGACTATGGTTCTGTGGAAGTTGTAACTTGATGAATGTCTTAATTTTTGTCAAGAAAGTGGAGTATTTCTTTCGTTCTTTCAGCCGAAGAAGCAAAAAAAACGCTCACTCCTCTCTATCACTCTCTCTCTCTCTCTCTCCGTCCCTCCCAATTATGCCATTACTCGTCCTTTTTTCTTTCTTTTTCATTACCCCACTACCGGGCATTCATATTCTCTCTTTCTCTCCCTCTCTCTCTTTCCATTTTCTTAATTTTTTTCTTCTTATTTGAACACTTGATCATATTTGCTCACTTTTGCGCTTTTATATCTCTCTATCAAGTTCTAATTTTTAATTTTTTCTATCCCCTCCTCAATTACTTTTCCAATATTTTCCGTTCTCTTTTTTATATAATCTCTCTCTCTCTCTCTCTCTCTCTCTCTCTCTCTCTCTCTCTTTCTCTCTCTAGGTCCCTCTCAATTATGCCATTATTCGTCCTTTTCTATTTATTTTTCATTACCCGATTATAGGGCATTCATATTCTCTCTCTCTCTTTCTCTTTCTTCGAATTTTCTCCGTTTGTTCTGCTTATTTGAACACTTGATCACAGTTGCTCACTTTTGTGCTTTTATATCGCTCTATAAAATTCTAATTTTTAATTTTTGTAACTCTTCCTCAATCACTTTTTCGAATATTTCCTGTTCTCTTTTTTATATACTCTCTCTCTCTCTCTCTCTCTCTCTCTCTCTCTCTCTCTCTCGCTTTCCATTTTCTCCATTTTTTCTTCTTATTTGAACAATTGATCACATTTGCACACTTTTTTGCTTTTATATCTCTATATCAAGTTCTAATTTTTAATTTTTCTATCTCCTCCTCAATCACTTTTTCCAATATTTTCCGTTCTCTTTTTTATCTACTTTCTTTCTCTATCTCTCTCTCTCGATAACTCCAAATTATGCCATTATCTCGTCATTTCTTTTCCTTTCTTTCTTTTCTTTCTTTTCCATACCCTCTCTAAAGCACATTCATATTCTCTCTCTCACTCTCTCTCCGTCCCAATTATGCCATAATTTTGGCCTTTTTTGTTCTTTCTTTTCCATCCCTTAGTTAAGCACACTCATATTATCTGTCTCATTGACACACACTCTCTCCCCCTTTCTCCCAGACTTCAAGAGATATCCTCCTAATTAATTAATCGATAACACTTTTAACGACCCCTTTACACTCTTTGCATTCTGTTATCTTTGCCAGTCCAGCAAACTACAAACGGCCTTTAATCCTCGATGCGGATAAATTTTACGACTTCTTTTCGCCCATTTTCTCGTAGATGACTCACCCGGCTCTGTTTATTTTGCAGATATGAGAAACAACACGAGGGAGGAGAGAAGGCGTATGGTGGACATAACCAAAGACAAGCCGATCAAAGTCAGCATTAGGGTCGTCGTACCAGTCAAAGACCATCCAGTTGTAAGTAAACATCTCAATTATATTTTATTTATAAGTCTACATGTTAAAATAATGAAATGGAAGAAACAAAAAAGAAAAGAAAACAACATAAAGAAACAAAGAAAATTTCGAAAACTCGAGCTAGTCGTTCAGTACTAAATTCGCCTGATTAATGTTCGTTACCTCAACACACGGGATGATGTAGGACACGGCATACAAATAAAATATTAACGGCTAATTAAAACTACGCTAGGAGTAATTTTGAATTATTAACATAGGGAAAATAAGGGCCGTTATTAGCGTCTTGAGAAATAGGGTTTGCGGAAGTTGTGCGCTGATATAATATTTAAATTAACGAGATACCACGTCGCTCTGAACTTGCTGCATTCTCATCACAGACAGACATGCTCTACCTTGTTAACCTCATTCTTGTATGGTTTAGTAAATAAAGTGTATTGCAAAGAAAATTTGGATTGAATTTTGTTCCAAATTTTCGCTTCTGAAAGCGCTGAGTCTTTCTCTTTCAGTTTATCTGGAAGAAAAATTAATATATAAATGAAAAACTACAAAATATCAACGTATAATTGATATTGAGTAATTATGATGATTCTCAGAAAATTAACAAGAGATAGATAGATAGATACAAGTAATGAGGGAGAAAAAAAGAGTATGAGAAAGAAGGAAGAAAAAGAAAACCGGTAAAGCAGACTAGCGAGTAAGAAAAAAAATAAGACAAAAAGAGAGTTTGTAAGGTTGAGAGAGAGAAAAGGAGAGAGATTAAGTGAGAGAGAGAGAGAGAGTGAGAGAGAAAGAAAGAGAGAGAGAGAGAGAGAGGGAGAGAGAGAGGGTTAGGGAGGGAGATATACCAAAATAAAACAGCGTGTGAGTGTGATTAGAGTAATTGAAATCGAAAATAATAGAGACGAAGTGAGGATATAAAGAAAGTGTGTGTGTGTGTGTGTGTGGGAGTGAGAGAAATAATGGAAAGGAAAAAGGAAAGATATCGAAAATCGTGAAAATTCATGGAAATAATTGACAAAGAAAAAGTTTAAAAGTGGAAAAAATAGAGCGTCCATGAAAGGAAGAGAAAGAAATCGAGGTAGTGCGCCTTTGACAGACAGACAGAGAAAGAGAGAGAAATACAATGAGGCAGTATTTGACAGACAGACAGGTAGGGAGAGAAAAAAGTGAGAAAAAGAAAGAGTGCGCTGTGTGAGAGAGGGGAAGGAACAAGAGCTAAAATCGTTGCGTATTCGTTATATTCTATTCACTGATGGAAAGATTGAGAGAAATGAATATAAATCGTGAGAACCTATTAAACAACCAAAGACTACTGAACCATCCTTCCGCAAACTTTAAAAAATCATCTTACATAAAATTATTGTTGTCTAAAATTAGATTTATTTTTTCTATGTATAAGTAAAAATATTTATACATATTAAAAATTGTGCAAAATTACATAATTAATCACTAGTACTTATATTTATATAAAATACCACGTTAATTGTGAAGATCATATTAATAATAATATAGGGGAAAAGAATGGGTGAGTGAATGAGAGTATAATAGAATCGAAAATAGAGGGACAAAGTGTGATCGACAGAGAGAGAGAGAGAGAGAGAGAGAGAGAGAGAGAGAGAGAGAGAGAGACAGACAGAGAGAGAGAGAGAGACAGACAGAGAGAGAGAGAGAGAGAGGAGTGAGAGGAGTATATAAAAAAGAGAACGGAAAATATTGGAAAAAGTGATTGAGAAAGAGTTAGAAAAATTAAAAATTAGAATTTTATAGAGCGATATAAAAGCACAAAAGTGTGCAAATGCGATCAAGTGTTCAAATAAGAAGAACAAATGGAGAAAATTCGAAGAAAGAGAGAGAGAATATGAATGCCCTATAATGGGGTAATGAAAAAGAAAGAGAAAAGGACGAATAATGAACCTAGGCAGAGAGAGAGAGAGAGAGAGAGAGAGAGAGAGAGATTATATAAAATAGAGCAGAAAGATACTGATATATGTAGGCAGGTAAGATAACGATATAAAGAAACATGATAGACCGACGGACGTTATAGAGACAAAGATCATCACATCGATAGATTGATAAAAAGAGGGGAAAAAGGGTGAAAAATATAGTGGGTGAGCGTGATATAGAGGGAATGATGTACAGAAAAAGAATAATGTAGTAGACAGGGACGAGGGAGATAACAAATGGAAAATATATGTACAATATTATTTGTCCATCCGATGACATTTATATCATAAAAACACAATTCTGAGCATACGAAAAATATTGGTAAAAAGGAAAATTGATGGTTTTAACGCTTTATTCATTCATATATCGAGAATAATTTGGCAATAATTATCACCTTGAACAAAATTCGGAAGCGTTATTAAAACTGTGGGTTTTTTAAGTGTAAACATTGATATGTCTGCCCATATTTTCTGTTCGATCTTTCCATGTATGAACTACAACCGGGCAAATGCCGCCGGATCAATTTGGTTGACCTTCAACCTAACAAAACAATATTTTAACTTCTCTTTGGATTCAATTATGTACAGGATGAAGAATGAATCCTTTTGAAGAAACCACAGCATTTTATTATTGTTATTTATATAATCAATGTTGTTGATCATTTTTTGAAGGTGTGAGTGTAGATTGGACTTATCTACGTTTAAATACACTCTTTGTCCGCCCTTTCCAAAAGATCGGGGTGCAAGAATGTCGTGATAAAATACGGTCGAGGATGCCAGAGGTAAAAGCGATCGCGTGACAGGTGCTAGTTTCACAGCCGGGGCACGTTTTACGAGAGCGGCTGTAAAAAGAGGGCCTCTTCGGCAGGGACACAAATTTCCTCGATCCACCCCTCGCCCCAGGATAACTTCAATAATTAAACAACCAAGATTTTTTTTTAATCTACCGAGGAAAGTCTCTTCAACCCGACGGCATTGTCAATATTGAATTCGTGCAAGTGTTTCTTACTTTACTGTACAATTGAAAATGGGGGGGGAGAATAAATGCCCCCAGTGGAACATGATTTGACCTTAGCAAACTCATAAAACATCAAAGTTACCATAAACGTAAACATAAAAGTTGCAACCCATAAAAGGCAGAGTTTTATTATAAGAATCTTGCCTTCTTAGATTAAGACAAAATAAATATAAATAATTGAACAAGAAATAAAATTGAACACATTCTTACAGTAGCAAATAATCTTCAGTATTATTTGATGAGATGGTTTTCAAAAGGCAACAATTCCTTTAATGTTATAATTTCTTACCTTAGTCCTCACAAAAACTTTAGCTTGATTTTCCCTCAAAAGTTCTTCATACATCTGTCCATTCACAATACTCTCAAAGAGGGAGTATTAAAGAGCTTAAATTTTACCAAAGCATTTACCGACCAACAATGTTAATGTTCAACATCACTGGCTATCGTAGCGATTTAATAATCCATCACTAATAATAATAATAATAAGATAAAAGTTCTTTTTATTTCTTCTTCAATCTTCTTCTAAACTTTCTTCACATTAAAGAGAAGTTCCAATCAAAAATTAAACTAAAATTGTGCAATTTCAAAAAAAAAAATTAAAAATACACGCTTATAATCATTATGTAAAATTATGATACCAAGTACAGATTACTAATTTTGAATAAAATAAGCATTTACACTTTGCTGTGGTAGAGTAACACAAATATAATACAACAGCTTAAAAATAAAATTATATGCTGTAATGTTATTTCATAAGCGAGTAAGGTATGAAAAGCATTATTGTTAATAGTGCATATCATTAAAATGTAAATATTTATTATAACAAATTCAGATAATTTCAGAATGATCTATTTAAGTTTACATCCTTTGATAAACGCTATCTTTTTGGGATCCATACCGTCATCCCCCTAGAAAAGCTTACAAAATAAACAAAATCTTTTTCTCAACTTACCTACGTTTCAAAAAGGACAAATCAAATCTTTTATTTTTTTCTTTCTTAGGTTTTCTTTTCTTGTACTTCTCCCGTTTTAAACCTGCTAATTTATTTTCCTGTAAATTCAGATAATTTCAGAATAATCTATTTAGGTTCACATCCTTTCAATGCTCTTTGATAAACGTTATCTTTTTAGGATCCATACCGTCATCCCCCTAGAAAAGCTTACAAAATAAATAAAATCGTTTTCTCCACTTACCTACGTTTCAAAAAGGACAAATACATCAAATCTTTTTTTTTCATAGGTTTTCTTTTCTTGTACTTCTCCCGTTTTAAACCTGCGAATTTATTTTCCTGTAAATTCAGATAATTTCAGAATGATCTATTTAATTTCACATCCTTTCAATGCTCTTTGATAAACGCAACTATCTTTTTGGGATCCATTCCGTACCCCCTAGAAAAGCTTACAAAATAAACAAAATCTTTTTCTCCACTTACCTACGTTTCAAATAGGACAAATACTCGGGGAAATAGATAAGCCCCTTCCATTTGAGATAATAAATTACAATCACACGTTTCAGTTTATTCACACTACCCCGCAGTACTCAATATTTCTCGGATAAATTAGAAATAAGCTCTTCCATTCACGCTAATAAATTTCATTCAAATATTCATTCAGATTATCCCAGAATACTCTATACAATACCACATACATAAAGGCGCAAAGATCTATTATACAATTCAAAATACAGTAAAAATCGTTTATAAGAACATCCAAGGGACCGTCTGAACATGGTTCTTAAGCCCGATAGTTGCTATATTCATATTTAATCAATTTTTTCTGTTTAATTATTGATCAATTTTTTGAAAGTTGAAGGCTTTTTCAGTCATTCCTCTGGAACTACTTTTAAGGGGTTGAAATTAGCAATCCCATTTAGTAACAAGTTTAGAACTAAAAGCGTTTACGAATTTCAAACCCTGCTTAATTATCATTGTTTAGGTTTTAAGATAAAAAACAAAAGGATTAATCAAAAAAATTTTATTTACTGCAAAACTGAAAAATAGTCATTTTCTGTAATGGTGACAAGTTCTTTCACTGTCATTT